GTTTCTTCTTTTTCGTCTAATGGAAAAAGACAGAACAGAACCAGAATTTGGACTAACCCAACTTTTGGGTTAAAAATTTAATGTAAAAATTTAACCCAACGGTTGGGTTAGTCCATATTTGACCCAATGTTGGGTTGAAACAACCCAGCATTTTTTAGAGTGTACCATTCAAATGTTTTTTTTTTCTTGAAAAAAAAAAGTATACTTTTCATATGTCATATAAATGTCATTTAATTTAATTTTCTATTTATCAAAGAAACCTGGAAAAAAAAAATCAAGGTTTCTACAAAAACATTAAGCAGCACACCTGTTTTCAACATGGATAATAATGTTTCTTGAGGACTAAATCAGTATATCAGAATTATTTCTGAAAGATCATGTGACACTGAAGACTAGGAATAATGGCTGATTCAACTTTGCCATCATAGGAATAAATTACATTTTCAATATATTAAGATAGAAAACAGTTACTTTAAATTGTAAATAAAATATCACAATTTTACTGTTTTACTGTGTTTTTGATCAAATAAATGAAGTCTTTCTTAGCATAAAAAAAAAGAGTTCTTTCAAAAACATTACAAAATCTTACAGACTCCAAACTTTTGAACCGTAGTGTATATATTTTTTCTCTTTACTTGTAGAGAACATCCACTAAAAATCATCTTTGTTTAATTTTTGGTGCATTAGATGTAGTATTAGATACAGACACACTCATACAGACCTGGCATCTAGGAAGCGGGAGCGCAGGATCATGACCGCTTCGCAGGTGCTCTGCTTGAGCTGCATCTGGATGGTGCTGAACTTGCGATGGATGATGTTCACCATGCGCTCGATCTCTTTGGGGGAGATGGGCCGAGTGCGAGACTGCTCCCTCAGCAGGTTCATCACATGGGTGGTGAACTCATTACACGCCTGAACATGCACAGAGGGGCGGCACACGAATCAATCTCTGTGCATGTAAACATAACTACAGGAGCTGCTCAAATGTCCTATCCTGAGGACTTTTTTGGTGTGCTAAGGCCTACAACATTTTGTTGCAAAACATCTGCGTTTACAGAGGTCAGATCTAGGAGTCTTTTCTGAATAAGGGGAAGTTGTGGCCTAATGGTTAGAGAGTCGGACTCGTAACCCAAAGGTTGCGGGTTCGAGTCTTGTACCGGCAGGGATTGTAGGTGGGGGGAGTGAATGTACAGTGCTCTCTCCCACCTTCAATACCACGACTGAGGTGCCCTTGAGCAAGGCACCGAACCCCCAACTGCTCCCCGGGGGCCGCAGCAAAAAATGGGTGCCCACTGCTCCGGGAGTGTTTTCACGGTGTGTGTGTGCACTTTGGATGGGATAAATGCAGAGCACTAATTCCGAGTATGGGTCACCATACTTGGCCACATGTCACTTCACTTTTTTTTTAAAAAGTCCAGACTCTGTTCTCTCACCTGCTCATACTTCTCCAATTCTGTATGGTAGATTTGACGGATCTGGGACAGCTTGGCCCGGTAGTCCGAGTGTTCGGCCGAGTTATCGGACCCGCCACCGCCTGCCGCGGCAGCTGCGGCTGCTGCTGCAGCCGACCCGCCTCCTTTCTCAGGTCCGGACACGCCTTCGGCTAGCAGCATGTTGTCCAATCGCATGAGTTGAGCATCTGGTGGCTCCTCCTCCTGAGCTCCACGGATACTGAGTACTGAAGGGAAGAGAGAATAAACACTTGAGTAATTTTGTAGGTTCAACTAGGGCTGGGCGATATGGGCAAAAATTCATATCTCTGTATTTTTTGGCTGATTTGCGATATACGGTATATATCTCGGTATTTTCATTTTTGTATTTTAAAAAAATCTGTATTTAATATATATATTTCACTTACTACCCAATGTTGTCCAACAAAACAATACATATTAAAGTCTATGAAAGCAAATAAAGTGAATGTAACCATGTAATCCTTTATACTATGTGCAAAACAGAGTTAAAATCACATTTCATTCTAACATTGTAACATTGCAATCTAAAAATGAAAATAAATGAGAACAAAAGCACAGGGTTGTGTTAGGCTATTTTGATTACCCCATTACAGTCACTTTACAGTCAGTGCTATCATAAAAATGTACTTGTAGGTTTAAAATTCTACGTCACATTTATTGTCCAACTACAAATATTTCAGCGAAATGTATATTTTAGTCAGAATTATTGCGCTCCTATTTAATTGTGCTCCGTCTGTTTGGCGCGCATGCGGCAGCGCTCATTCACTGAAGTCTGTGAAGTGTAGCAGAGAATCCCAAAGCAGAAGGCTGATGCACTTCTGACAGAAAAATGGAAATATTTCCATGACTTTCTAACATTTACAGACATAGAATGTACCTGTGAAATGCAAGTTATGCATTAAGGGAAACGGCACATCTCAAACACATTAAACAGTGTGAGTAGCCTAGTGTCTCTGTCTGAGGCACATGCACCCTTTCTGTCAGAGCATATGACGGGCCAAGCCGCTTAAACTGTGCGAAACTATAAACTATACTGTGTCTTACCTGTTTTTAAAGGCCTTAATATAAAGCTTGTCACATGTTTAGAACAAACTGCATTATGCACTTTATCCTCAGCAGCTCAGTCTGTGTCCTCCGCTATATTTTCAGATGCACTCGTATCAAATTACTATGTCGATATAAACGGTATTGCCTCATATCGTATTGCTTATAAAGAAAATTTCGATATATCGTACAAACTCGATATACCGCCCAGCCCTAGGTTAAACTGCTAAAACAGCCTTCAGTCATCAAAGCCACTGGAAATCCTGAAAGTTTTCAGACATATTATGTTGTCTATGGCTATGTAGTAGACATTTAGTGGTCATTTCTGATTAACTGTATACTTAGAACAATATTTCTAATATTAGTTAAGCTAAGAATTGCAATGTCTCAGTATGACACTTAAAAATGAGAAGCACACACACACACACACACACACAGATAGATATATATATATATATAATTTATCATTTGAGTGACCAAGTTAATGTCTGTAAATCATTTGAGTGACCAAGCTAATGTCTGTAATAAAATCAACATAACATCACTTTGTCTCCTTATGAGACATTATAGAGCTTGAGGAGTAATATATGGCCTTCATTTTAATTGCTCACTTCTTTGTGACAAAAATGAGGAACTATACACTGATCTTGGCAGGGTATGAGATAATAAAACCATAATTTCATTGATTTGCACAATAATTTAGAATAAATTATTATATCTGCTCATTTTTGGTTCTTTACCCACTGAAGAGTAAAAGCATCAAATTATTATTTAAAACATTAAACTAAATAATTACTAAGATTTAGAAATGTCAGAGAAATGCCATTTTTTAAAACTTGTCTGTCCACTATTCACTGATTTTTTTTATAGCCGTTCAACTGTCAGGATCTCTGGAACGCTTTCATTTTTCCAACTTAAGTTAATATATAGAATAAGTTAATATACCATGAAACTCTGCTCTTTGATTTTAAGACTGTACCATGTATCACTGTTTATATTGGCTGTGTTACAGTGGTGCTCAGTTCTGTGCCTGAACCTTACTGAAATGTTTTGCTCCACTGCTGCTCTGATATACATGTACTGTTCAAATTATTCCCGAAGAAGACCCTGTTCACCTGATTTAAATTTAAAATATGGTCAAATGATTCAGTAAAATGTGTTAAACAGAGCTGAGAGTATACCACTCTCTTATTGGTAGCAGAAACTATTATCAAATTAGCAGGAAACAAACAAGCAAAGTGTGGAGGACATTTAAGATTCTTCGTGGGAATGGTTATTACTACACTATGAAGGAAAAGAAGATTATATAAGGACTCCTAAAGGAGCTTTGGCTGTTTGTGCAGTGCTATTAGAACATTGTAAACTGTTATTTCTTTGTGTGCCACTAGATGTCTCTCCTTCTGTTCTGTTCAGTGAAGGCAGACTGACGGCAGAAGCACCTGCAGCAGCCATTCTACCAGTAACAAAGAACACACAAATCCAGATTTACCAAGAATTTGACAAACAAGCAGCCATACATTTCTGTAGAAGATCCACAGCAATAACAGAAGAAAAAAATGTTAATGCAAATAAAGCCAATACTCACTGTATAGTTTATAGCAAAGATCTGTTTTGGTTACAGTTACAGTGGATGTCAAGTGGTGACCAAATATATCAATACTGCTTATTATAAAATAAACCTTCAATAAAAATTACAAAACATTTCAAAAGTTTGGGTTCAGTAAAGATGTTATTTCAAAGAAATTAATATCCGTATTTAGCAAAGATGCATTAAATTGATCAAAAGTGACAGTAAAGACATGTATAATGTTTCCAAATATTTATACTCTAAATAAGTGCTGTTATTTTGAAAACAGTTATTTTAAATTGCAATGATACGTCACAATAGTACTGTTTCTACTGTATTTTTGATCAAATAAATGTCCCTTGGTGGGACAAAACAAAATTATTACCAAGAGACCAATTACTGTACCAAGAGACAGATGAATCTGTGTAAATACAGCCTATAACATTCTAAACAAAAGATACAGGAAGAGTTTCCCCTCCCTTTGAATAGTTGGTAAGTCTTTTTATTCCGCTATTCCAACTATATTGAGCTATATGATTAGTTATATTTTTTATTTGCACGAAGTGTTATTTTTTCCCCGTGTTCTGCGACCCAATCAGAAGAGCCCACCGCCAGTTAAGAGCTTCTGACATAAATGTAACACATATGGCTTATTACATATGTAAACCTGCAAAAACAACCCATGTCTGATGCCGCTACTGCAGTAGAGGCAATGCAAACGTTCCTGTGACATCATTCTGAAGATGACAGCAAAGGGTGAGGCAACCAACATGCTGCAATCTGTTTCCACAACCCGAACCCAGTCAGCCCACTCTCACTGCAAATGTCAGGGGCTGTCAGAGGGCTCCAGAGGTCAAGAGTTCAGCGCACGGGTTGAGCGACACCGGCGAAGGTCCGATTTCTCTAGAGACTCCTAGCAGTACAGCGAATATCCTGCTTCTTTAGCATGTCCTTTGGCACATGTGCACACAGTGTGTTTCGCAAAGTGATTATTTTCATACCGCCGTCATCCTGAACTCCTCGCTTCAACTCTTTGACGATAACTTCAAGCCGTTTTCAAAAGATATTGCTTTGTTTTTCAAAAAACACTGACTGTCCAATTTCAGGCTCGTCTCAACTGTCTGCCCACCCAACTATTTCACAGCGAATGAAAAAACACGAGTGTATATCAATAGCACAACACGAGAGAAAAAAAGCAAGTGTTTTATGCTTTTATAAAAGAAAGAGACAGCAACAGTGGAACGTGACTGGTGTACAGCATCGACTAAAGAAACCCAGGCCCAGAAGTGCGCAACGTTCATCTGGAGAGGGAATCTAATGAGGCAAATAATGATTTATTCATTCCAACCATATCCTCCAGTGCACAATTAAATGCATGAAATATATTAAATAAATACAATGAATGCGGGTAATCATACAATTCACTTTGCTGTTGTTTAATTACCCCAAACCGACGCAATGCACTTTATTTATTTTGATTCAGTAATGGCATGGCAATCGATTAGGCCGTAATGCTGCCGGCCCTGCGTGTGTGTGTGTGTGTGTGTGAGTGGTCTGTGCCCAATGCACTGCTGATGTGAACTGAGCTGAACTCAACCACCCGCAGACAAACATTAACAGTTTTTCTGAGGAGCAGATCATTATCTCTTTCTGTCTTTCTTTGGTTTCTTCCTTCTATCTCTGTCTGTAGGGGAAGATGGGGTAAGACACCCACCTTCAAAACAATGTGTTTTCACTGATATAGCAATATTTCACTGAAATAGTAATATTTTAGTTTAACATGTATAATAATGCATAAATTATGCATGGAAAATTGGCTAAACAACAACATGCCCCAAATCTAAATGTTAGTGTACAACTAAAATATAAATATATATACAAAAAAAATCACTTTGCTATTGTGACAAAATTAGATATTTTAACCTCAATAATCAATACAAATGTTCATTTTCTGGTGATATGTCAAAATTTATATGAGCATAAGCATGTGTTCAGATGAAATTTAAGGTCAAGAAGAAAATTAAATGTGGGGGGTGAAACATGCTACCCCATGTTACCCTATCGTTCTCTTTTTTTCTCTCTCTCTTACTTCTTCCTTTTTTTTTTTTTTTGCGTGTGCTATTTAGCATCATGAACTGCAGCGGTTTTTAGAAGTATCTAATCGACCATTTCACTTTTGGAGGATATTCTGATGCGACTTCTCCTCAGACAAGTCTTAATTTCACCCTCCCAGCAGTAGCCTTCCTGAGCGTTTCCCTTTTCACAGCTAATTTGACAATCTAGAACCCACGCACCTGATAGCAAGACCTAATTTCACTCTCTTCACTTCTATAACAAGGCCAAGCGGCTCTGGAATTCCCCTTGATAATCCCCAGAAAACTCACATCTTCCTCATGTTTGTTAAATTGTAGTCTTTTTAAAATGTATGCTCGATCACAAGGTTGCAGAGTCTTGTAATCCTCCTTTGGAACAATAAAAAAAGTCTTTCGTTTAGGAGAAACGAGGCACTAACCCAGTCAGGGGCTTCGAGCTAGGTTTAGTCAAGGGGTTTATCTTTTCAGTGTCTAAACCAAGGCTGGTATCAACTTCAGGGAA